ATCTATCAACTGATCAGATCGTGATCATCGATCGGGATCCTAGCATTCCTTCATATTGCATGACATCCATGTTTGGAAAGTGAGAATCGTGTGGAGAATCCATCACAGAAGCAGTGATCGTAATATAAAAGGGTTCACCAGTGTGCATGTATAAAAGGATATATAAGAGAGCTACTTTAGAGTGTCCGGAAGGGTCCGAAGGGAGTGACTAACATAGAGCTCGGAGTTTGGAGAGTTGTCCCACTTCAAATCGTACAAGGAAGGTCATCAATCCGCTTCTTCAGATCTGCAAAAAACGCGTGCGCATCAAGAATGCTCCCTGAACACCGGATACACCCCGATGCCTGCGCAACCCGTGCCAGGAACGGCATGCTGAAGATGACGTCAGTCGTTGGTCGTATCGCCAGCTCCTCCTTTGCCAGCCTCTCAAATTCTTTCCACCACTTTGGTGGCACGAACGCCCCGTAATAGGGTCCCGAGCACTGCATGCATTTGACATCCTGTGATATCTTGAGGAGTGCCTGAGCAGCTTCAGATCGCGTCCTGTGCAGCACGAGAAGACGATGGTAGGCGTGTGCGGAGATGAACTTGAGGTCATCAGACAAAGGACAATCAAGAACGTTGCAAGAGAGCGTGTGTCGTGACGCAACCTGTGCTTCGTACTCCAGCTCGAAGCGACTCGCGACGGCATATACCCGGGTAGCGCTTTCTTCCAGGAAGCGGGGCGATAGCAACTCCTTGCGCAAAGCAGCTATCGGGCCCAAGAAGTCGTACTTGACGGCTGTGGAAAGAAGAGTGACCAGTTCGTCCAATGACGTGATCACAGGGTCTGCCTCGGGGTAGATAAACTGGAGCAGAGTGCCCATCGTGGAGCTATGCTCGAACACGGGAACGACTGGACGGTGCCCTTTGCCGTCTGGTGGGGGTTGAGGAAGAGAAAACATATGTTCAAAGAAAGGGGAGGCTGCAGCCAAAATACAGCGATGGACGCAAAACTTGACATTGTCGCTGGATTCCAGAAGGACATCAGCGTCCTCAGAGTACGACTCGTGATCTGCGACCGTCATGATAACTGTGTGGTAGAGAACGAACAAGTACCAAGAGCTGAACACTAGCTGTGCCAAACAGTGGATTTATACGTTTCGCACGAATCAAGCTGGAGCCACTGCGCGATGACGAATGTGAAGAAGCTCTGGAAAGATGACTCGCAAGAGAACTCAACACGTACATACTTGGGAACTTTGGGCACAATATCAGTCTGAATCCTAAGACAGGGGTGTGACGCGACATGGTTGTTACAAACAGGCGTAAATATCTGGACAGCCCCCCTAACGATCGCGACGTGGGCGACGCTCCTCCGAGCGCCGATCTCTGTCACGTGAGACAGGTGAATGGGAACGACGCCGACGACGTTCCAAGGAACGGTCCCTTTCTCGGTCCCTACTGCGGCTTCTTCTTCGGCGGTGGGCAGATCCAGTATGAGGGACTTCGAACACCATTCCATAATCACTGCGACCTTTTCCTCTTGCACTCGCTCGATACCTACGTGTCTCTTCCAAATCATCCCGACCCGCGAAGCCACCCTTCTCTCTGCGGGAAGGGCCCATTTTGGGGTTGTTGGACCATGAGCCGTTAAGCCGAGACACAGACTGAGAGCTGAATACGCCATATTCAGCAATGGCAAACAAACATTGCGCTGAGAATGCTTACAAGTCAACCCATATCCGTCGGTCGTCCACCAAAACATTTTGCATCTTGAAATATGCCTGAAGATCTCATCAGGCTGTGCGACTTGACACTAGTCCATGAATTTCTTACCTGTTCAGCGTCTTCCCGTTTATCGAATTCTATAAATGCGTATTGCAGCGAATCCCCCGTCTTCTTATCTCGGATTACCTGACAACTCATGATAGTTCCGAAACGCGAAAATATTAGCTCGAGGTCCTCGTCCCGGGTAACTGGATTCAGTTTGCAAACAAAGAGCACGTTTTCCGGTGGGCGAACGTTTGCAAAAGGAAGGTCGCCAACCATTTCGAGTGTTAGTGCAGATGCTGCCGCTGCTTTTCTCCGACGCTCGCGCTCTTCTTCTTCCTCTGGCAAAGTGGCAAGCGGATCTTCATCTTCAGCAATCCTCGTGGAATTATCAGGTGGATGCACGGGCGAAAAGGGTGGCTTCACAAGACCCTCTGGGTCAGGAAATGGGTCATCTACAGACCCAAGGTATCAACACAGGATGTCGCGAAAGCTTGGGATCCCTACCAAGGATGACGATATGACGAATCCGAACGTCTTTAAAAGGCCGACCATCCTGACCCGTGAAAATGTCATTAAGCTTATCCAGCGTTTCGAAGCCCTCAACGACGTGACCAAACACAGCGTGCTTGCCATCGAGATAGTCAATGTTGTCAGCGAGAGTGACGAAGAATTGACTGCCGCAGCCGCCTTTGTCGCCGCTAATGGAGGGAGCTACAGCCATCGAGACAGTTCCTTTATGTGCGTGCTTGAGTTTCGGTACGATTTCCGGTATGAAGTATCGTGGTATTGATTTCTGTTCTGCTTGCGAAGCGATATAAGACCAGATGGATTCCCCGCCGGTGCCCGTAGCTGTAGGATCCCCTGTCTGAGCAAGGAAGTCCTTTGACACTGGAATTTTTTTCTCTAAATGCAAAGTGGGTCGAACCTTGGGGTGGTTGACTCACCATTGAAGAATGCGTTCAGGTTGTAATAGTACACTTTGCAGAGTTTAAGGAAGTTCTCGCATGTCTTGGGGCATAGTTCTGTCTCCAGGTCGATTACAATATCCCCGACGGACGTCTCGAACAGCACGGACATGAAGCCGCAGTGCGATGCCAAGGTAAGGTAACTTGAGCACCGAGTCCTTGCAGGTCACTAACGCGACGTCGTGCTTGGCGAAGATAAATTTAATTTTCGAAACCCCACGAGAAAGAGGCACGACAATTTTTCTTTGCAGCTTTTGTCACACGTGCACGAGCAATAGTTGAACAGCAGTTCTGAGTAGACTTGCTTTTTGGTGAACCGTTGGTCGTAGGTGGAAGGGAAGACGCGGAAGCAGTTCGCCGTGCGATATTGACCAAGTACATGCTCGAAAGCCCGTCTCTCAACTCCACTACAACAGTATGTAGTCTAGTATTACAGCGAACCAACGCGTCACGAACGAAGCATCTCACTCAAGGACTGATTCAAATGGTCGTGATTGCTCTGCCTGCCTGCCGGGGCACCCACATCATGACTCATGATATTCGTTCATTCAGGATTTCCCAGGGTATAATGAGAAGCTTTAGCTTACTCTTATCGTTCCCGCAATGCGCGTGTTAGCATGCGGTTCTTCTAACGTCCTTCCGTGCCCCTTTCCAATACTTTACGATGCAATGCATATACATGAACAGCGCAGCATCAGGGTCTAGATCTAAACAGCAATCCGTGTCCCCCAACAACAACCCACGTCACACCGATACCTACTTGTAGCGTGCACAGTCTGTCTGGTTCTGGTGTTCCCATCGTCAGCATCTCCGCCGGCTCCAACGTGCGCGTGTTCATCGATCATCATGGACCGAGATCCCCGCTATTTTTACCTGCGTTGTAGGTCAATCCATCGCCTTCGAATGGCACGAGCATGCACAGTGTACTGGCGAGGATGCCATCTCCGCCGGACACGATGGCGCCGAACACTGCGGCATCCTTCAATGGCCAAGGACAAAGGTATACCAATCTGGACTTTTGAACCTGAGTACACGAGAATGGTCCACTGGTGTTCGTCGGTGCTGGTAATTGCACAGTGTGGCGATTCTGCTTCCTTCCACCAAACGAGTGACATTCATCATCGCCTCCCAGGTGCATATCATCCCCCTGACCCTGGTATCCCTATAAACTGCTTTATGATTCATTGTCTTAGCCATTACCCGCCCTTTCCTCTGGTGATTCCTCATATGGTCTGGCTGAAGACAGTCATGATACGGCCTAGATACCTACTCAGAATGTTCAGTACAATACAACGAAGTCGTGAAGCTAGAATTGTACCCTAAGCATAGACCGTGGAGTCAAAGGAAGACGGTCACACCTTCTTGCTAATGTACGCTGGTTAACGTGGATGGAGGGTGGCGAAGAGGAAGAAGAAAAAGAATGACCACCGCAGGGCTCGAACCTGCAATCTCCTGATCACGTAGACATCGTAGTCAGACGCGATGCCATTTCGCCAGGCGGCCGTTGAATTCTGGTGGCCCGCAATACCACACAACGCCATAATTACTAAAGACTTTGGTGACGGTTTTGCGAGATCTGATTGGTGGAAATAGGTATCCGTTGCTCCAAAGCAGCAGTTACCCCGCAAGCTAACTATACGGAGACTAAATTAAGCACTGTGGCTCGGCTACGTTTTGTAGATGTATGGTAGATAACCGCTTACAACCAAATCGAAACGCGTTGAACACACAGAGGTGTCAAAGTCTGTCTTGTCCTGCTGATTCTCACACACTGCCTGCACCAGCTCCGTAGCGCGTGTCTCGCAATATAAGTATATTAATGCTGTTCACTGGCATTTCCCCCCGCAGAACTGAACACCGATATATATATTCCTCGGAGCGGAAACTCTTTTACTGGCAAACCTTGGCTGTTTTCGACTTGGACTGAGATTGCTAGAACAAGGCATTGTCTCTCCCAGATCGAGGCCCCAGACTGGCCGTTTCGAAAAGGATCTGGGCGAGCGACATCGAGATACCAAGAATTCGGACGATATGGATATGGCTCTCAAACATTCACTGTGAGTTTTGAGGGTCTCCTACTCTGTTGAGAAGAGGCAAAACTATAGCTACACTTGTTGATCATGATTCGAGTATATTTGTCATCTACAAAACTTAGCCGAGCTGAAAGGCTAGCTTGCGGGGCAACTACCACTTTTGAGCTGAGCAACGGATAGACCTCACCACCAAAGTCTTTGGTGACTATAGCGTTGTGTAGATGCTCCTTCTCGATTAAATCCTCATGGCCGGCTAGCTCAGTTGGTTAGAGCGTCGTGCTAATAACGCGAAGGTCCTGGGTTCGACCCCCATGTTGGCCAAGTTTTTTTACATCCATCATCCCATCCATGCCTAATTATCCTAGGCCTTCAGAGAAAAGGGGACTTGCATGACCCTGTCCTGCCTCAAATCACTACGTGGTCTCACGATTATCATTGGTGTTCTCACGATTTCGTGAAGAATACTGACAAACATCTGCAACAGTGTCCCTTTAGGTTGACACGACTCTACCTTACTATGAGGCAGAGCGGATCCGTTGAGTAACGTGACTAAGACCCAATGAGAAAACTGGAATTATCTCAATGAAAAAAACATTCCGAAAACAAAATTTGAAAGTAATACACCGTGTATACATGATCGATGCGCCTTGTGATACTCTAATACCTAGTACTCTCTCCATGCACCCGCCTGTTGTCGTTCAATCAATCCTCGATCTTCCCTTGAATACCCTTGACCATGTCGCTTGTGAAACAATCCCCGACCGATTGCCCTTCGACTATCTCGCAAGCTTTTCAGGCCAGGACAAGATCGACATTCCGCGAGCATGCTTAATCGTCTACTTTCTAACTTCGACGACAATCTTTCCACACGTTTTTCAGCTTCAACTGCTATCCTGAACGGGCGCGATACCATAATTATCGCAGGGACAGGGAGTGGAAAGATTCTCTGTCTCTTAATACCGACTTGAAGTGCACGAGCGACACTTTGCGAAGCCATGTTTTTGAGCAACTTGAAAGGGGACGGAAAGGATACACAAAGACCGCACCGTGATAAGGCTTCGATCGTCTGACGTGAGGCACCATAGTTCGTCCAGAGGAAGAGGGCAAATGGCGCGGCGAAATAGACACTAAAGTGTGATGTCTGGCGCGCAAGCTGTGTCACGATAACGTTGCGAGACTTCATTTAAAAGCAACCAATTTATGAGGGGCAGCAGAGTTGGTTAAATATATTTATATTGCATACTGTATGTATTACAAGTTTTTAACGTGTTTTGTTTTCTCGCTCGGTCTGTCTGAGCCGCGCATTCAAGGGATGGGAGCGTTGTTGTCCATGACATCAGTGACGGTCGAGTTGATATCCCACTGCAAAAGAAAGGCGGACGTGATCGTGTCTATCGTGCCTCGTAGTTCGTCTTTGACGGCGTCCATTTCGTCGTAAATCTTGCATGAAACCATCTTGATCTTGCACGGTTCCATCCAGCAAGTGAGCGATGGTCCACCACGAGGGCCACTAAGGATCAGGTCAAAGACATTGTCCAGCTTGCGGGGGGCACCGTACTTAGGGGGCGTGTACATCCGGTCGCGGTGCGTGGCGTGGTCTCTTTCGGAGGGGTCCAAAAGCTTGGCCAAGAAGTCAAGGAGCGATATCTCGCCTTTGCGAAGAATTGCGAGTGCATTTCGAATCCATTCATTTCCTGGGACACGCTCGTTGGCTGATTTGCTATTGGATGTTGCAGAGATGTCCCCGGTGGTGTGATTAAGTGAGCCAAGAGAGTTGGAATCATGGTTCATGCTGAGACGAGAGGATGAGGCCATCTGGAACAGAAGCTTGCTGAGATATAAGTGGGCTGGTTGACTGTCCTCGCGAAACGGAGCAGTGAAAATATTGGCGATTGGAAACAAGTGGTAGTAAATAAAAAGTAGAGCACCGCTGGAGCAACGAATTGCAGCGGAACCCACTGCGAGACTTCGACGACGACTTATCCATTGGATCACTAACTTATCAGCGTGGCACGTGCTCCCAAACAAGTCCAAAAGAGGGTTATCGGTCACGTTACTCAACATAGTCTGATCACCCAACTATCTTTGGCCGTGCAATGCAGAGTTGTGATTGGTGGACACACTCGTTAAAAAGGCAGGTCCCTGAGCTATACCAAAATTAAAAATAAATAAATCACAATTTTGTGACTTTTGCTTTTATTGATATAATATATATATTCATGTATTGACGTCTCAAAAGGGGTCACATTGAACGTTGGAAGCTCGGATAGGTGCAGTCAGGACCACTCTGCCCTCCAAACGCCACAAGGCAGCTTCCATCAATCACCTCCCGAATGAGCTGCTAGCCTTTATCTTCGAAGAGGCTGTGCACACCCAGAACTACCATGAAGCTCCCATGCTGGCTGAAATTGCATTTTCTAGTGTTTGTCGCCGCTGGAAGACCCTGGCCATTCATTCACCAAGACTATGGACCAAAGTATACGTGACGCCGCGGCTTGCTACAAATCCTCAACTCCATCTCTCTCGCTCTCGTGAACTCCCCCTTGAATTGATAATAGAGGGACGGCCATGGGCGGGGACGATTCTGACCCTCTCGATGAATTCTACGTGAGGAAGTTGATGCTCTCTAAAAGATACACCAATTTACATATTATCGACTTGGATGACGACACCGAATCCTGCATGTTGAGGATTTGTTAGGCGACCTCCACCTTCCACTGCTGACATCTCTCTCTCTCTCTCTGGCACTACACCATTCCTCCCGTTTATGGGCATGGAGATGCCGAATCTCAAGCATTGCCAACTAATGCACTGGGCCGACACAGAGGTACGATACAAATATCAAATTTGACATTCCCCATAATGACGGGTCTCTATACACGTCAGGATGCGTGTTATGAATTCCTTCATTTCCTGAAGGGCGTTCCGGGCTTGAATTCATTACGCCTCGAGGGACCTCTGCCCGCCCACCCCCGTAATACATCACCCATCAAGTTTCCAAGCCTTCAAGAGCTTGTCATAGTTCTTGATGGTGGTTTTATTTGCCTACGACCTCTCTTCCCCACTATCAAAGCACTGGATTTGCGTCGTTTTGAGCTTGTTTTACCCGAGGATGAAAATCACGTGGGTATCGCACCAGTAGCGTCCTTGTGCGATGCCACAGATGCCCCCAGGTTCCCCCTTGTGGACTCAGTCCGCTTGTACCATATAGCTTGCGATGAATGCGCTGTGACAAACTACATAAAAGCATTCCCCCTCGCAACGCAAGTGTCTCTTTCCCATCAAGACGCGATGGTCTTCTACGATGGTCTCAGAGCAGGAACTCCCCCTAGAGTCGGGCAGCAGTTATGGCCTGGTATTCGTCATATCACAGTCTTGTCATCCACAGCCGAAGCGGACACGGTCTTGAATATGGCTGCTTGGTTCTTTTGCCTCCTGGCTCGACGGCAAGAGTCACTGAAGGCACAAATCAAAGGTCCATGTGTACGTTCGATGTATCCTGATCTTGTCCTGTTTCAAGAACTCTGCAAGCTTTTGTCCATCGACCTGGTTGATTTTTAGGAGTCCGAGTGGTCGATGTGGTTTCCTCTGTGAACATCTTGTAGTGGTACGACGTTGAGGTGGGGTGATAGGAGTGTGGCCGCCGTGTCGCTGGGATTCCTGACCATCGTCTATGTGTCAACCCAGCGAATTGTAGAAGGCACAAACGAGTTCCTAACAAAAGCCTAATACACATGTATGGGATGATTGGGGTCACGGAATTTGGTACGATTGAAGTCTTTATTATACGTCGTGATGTATTGTTGAAAGGAAAGACCTTTGTTGAAAGGAAAGACCTTTGTCAACTGCAGCTGCCTGAGTCGTTCATTCACCTCGAAGCAGCACTCCACACACACGGTCCCTGATAAATTGAATGTATGACTTTTGAAGCTTGAAGGCTCGTAAGACCAACTTCTCCGTCGTCCATGCATCCTCGGTAGGTCGTATCTCAGATGAAGAAACCGCCTTTCCCGAGCATGGAGGTGATGCAACCATTCCTTGGGCAGTTCGTTGTTCATCACATTGTCTTAGATCGCTAAATTGTTAGAGCGCTTGGTACGAGCTCCGGAACACAGGGCGACCCATCAACATCATACATGGTCCAACTTTCTACATCTGGAAAATGAGAGGCTTCAATGGCCATGAATAAATCCGTCGTCCCATCCAAAATCATACTGTATATACTATCTGATACGTGGGCCAATGTTGCGACTCCCAAGGTTGCATTCCTCTTCCCTCGCCTTACTGCTCCTGCTTCTGATTCTGGCCTGTTGGCTTGCCGAAGGCGATATTTGCCGAACTACTTGAGCCGAACCCAAAGGCACTGGGTGTCGCATTCGCGGGCTTCCCGAATACTGGCTGGGTCGAGTCACCGTTCGTCGCAGATGTCGATGGCTGTCCAAATGCTGAACCGCCAGTGGCTGGTGGAGCACCGAACATGAAGGTGGCCGCAGGCTTCGTCTGTGCACTACCTGCAGAAGCAGATGCGATGATACCCACATCATCCTTCTTTCCAAACATGAACGTCGGCGTCGAGGAGGATGCACCGAACGTAGTGCTTCCAATGACGGACGTCGGCTTGGAAGCATCTCTAGCGCCACCAAACACATCTGTACTACCACCAAATATAGACGAGGGCTTGGAACCCTCAGCGGGCTTAGACCCAGACCCACCCCCACTAAACGAGAAACCGTTGGTTGGTGCGCCGCCAGAGGCAGGCGACCCAGCGGGCGTGGTGGAAAATGGGTTGCTCGACGTACTGCTGCTAAATGTCGGGATGGTGCTGGGAATAGATGTCGACGCATTTCCGCCAGCGCTCGCCGGCTTTCCAAATATATTCGTCGACGAGGACGCAGCAAACGCTGAACCGCCAAAGGCAGATGATGCACCTCCGAACGGTGAAGGTTTGGCCACTTCGTCCTTCAAAGTAGCCGTGGCACCGAAGACAGAGACTGGTACAATTGACTTCTTGGATTCGTCTGCAGCTACAGGCGTAGACGTGGAAACCCCATCCGTCGGAGCTGTCGATATTTGACCGAACTTGAACGACGTTGGTTTTGGCTGAGAAGTAGCACTAGTAGTCGAGGTGGAAGCAGGAGCAAATGCTGAAGTTGTAGATGGTTGTCCGAACGAAAACCTGGGTGCCGACGGTGTTGTGCTGGCAGGTGTAGTTGAAGATGCACCTGAGAATGAGAAAAGTGGGGCAGCTGGCTTCGAGCTATCAGAGGGCGTTGCGGTGGTAAAAGCTGGTGTCTCGGCCTTGATAGCTGCAGGTGTGGAGC